GGAACATATATGAAGCACTAGGTACAGTAGGCGGACTAACGCACAAAATGTCAATCGAACTTCTGAAATGCGTTTTAGTTTCGAAAAGATCGACTAAGTAGGGTTGTAAAACTAATATCATGTATCATAATTCAATAGTAACTTAATTACTCCAGGATGCCGGAGTTCGAACGATCTTCTTTCCCTCGGCGTGTAAAAACTATAATCTGACAAAAATAATTGCTTATTTGGCATGCCTTTATCTCATTTATTTTCGGTGGCCTTGAAAATTCAATTATATTTCATGGAAAACACGCATAATGTAGCGACCGAGCGGGTAGTAGACGTCGGGTCACGTGCGTCGAAGGAATGGGAAGAGGGGAGTTTGAATTTAGACGATCCAGACGATTGGAAAAGTCGGTCTATAATACCTTGTACTTCAGGGTGTACGGTAGAGGGGGGCACAGGCGTACGAGACATGATATAGATAACGGAATTGACAAAACGATATAAGTTTATTGTTATATGCGAAACGAGAATATAATAATGAGATAACGTAAAAACGAAAGAATATGACAGAATGACTTATCGGTGTGTTGATAGTTAATTGTCGGCAAGTGGTTTTCGGAGCGTAGACTCTGCAAAACAAAACAAAAGTAGTGCAGTCTATTCAAACCTCAAGGCCGGGTCTCTGGTCAGATCTCCGTCTGTTACATAGCCCTCCCCCTAAGGTGGAGCACTGTCCTCAGTGCTGAGATCGACAAGGGGTGGTGGGACGGTGACCTCGATAGCGATCGGGGGGACCTGGTCAGCAGGGAGTATGGGTAAGTAGTCGGGTGAGCAAGTTGGTAGGCGACCTCGGTAGGGCTTAAGCTTATCAAAGTGTGCGGTAAAGGGGCGGGCGTTGAGGTAGATGGCGTCACGGATAAGCAGGGTGGTGGGGGAGGGGGTGTCTAACACAACGAAGGCGTTTTGAAGGATGCACACGTAGCACATGATTGACCGAAGTGGGCGACGGAGGTGCGTAACTGCGGCCACCAAAAGCGCATGCGGGCGGCTAGCTCTGTCCGGCGCTGGCCGGAATGGCCTAACTCTGAGTGGAGGTCCGCTAGTACGGTGTCAACTAAACAGCCGGGAACTACTGGGCGTAGATGATAGGATGGGGGATCACGGAAGAATAAGATGTCGTGTAGGACGACTAGATGGGGCCATTGGTTTAACAGCAAACGTGTGTTTTGGCTCGTTCCGCGCATTGCTTGTTCGCTGGGTTTGGATAACCCTTGGATCAAATGGTAGTAGATAACAGCGGTATCGGGGTCAGAGCTCTGGGCTGAGGACCAGTTGTAACGGGTTGGTTCTGCAACCATAATAGCGTTAACGGCCGCGTCGTGGGACTCGTCTGCTGGGTTGTTAGTGTTAGGAAGGCGTGACAGTGCATCCGCGTTACCGTGTTTATTACCCGGGCGGAACTGGCACTCGAAATCGAAGTCCTGTAAAAACTCCTGCCAACGGGCTAGTTGGTCCATCGGATCCCTGATGGAACGTAGCCACTGTAGGGCTCGATGGTCTGTACGTAGAATAAACCTTCGGCCGACAAGGAGGTGTTTAAACTGGCGAATGAACATAATGATCGCCAGCAGTTCTCGCCTGAAGGTGCAGTAGTTGCGCTGTGTTTTGGTCAACGTGTTGCTGGCGAAACAGATAGAGTGTTCTATGCCGTCCTTACCGACTTGTGACAATACGGCCCCGATGGCGAATCCACTTGCGTCAGTATCTAGGATGAACGGGGGAGCGTCGTCGTCCACGTTTGAAAGGGCTAGGAGTGGTGCCGAGCATAATGCCGCGCGGAGGTTGTTGAATGCGGTGTCGCAGTCGGCGGACCATGTATAAGGGCGGCCTTTCTCGGTTAACTTGTGCAGGGGGGCGGCGATCTGGGCAAAATCTCGAATGAAACGTCGGTAGTACGACGCGAGGCCTAGGAAACTTTGCAGCTCCGTTTGGTTTCTCGGGGTCGGCCACGTACGTATGTGTTTGATCCGGTCTGGTAGTGGGGAGATACGACCGGGGGAAATAAGGTGGCCAAGAAATTGAACCTCGGAACGGAGGAAAAGACATTTGGTGGGGTTGAGAGTAAGGTCAGCTTCCTGGTGCGCCCACAACACCTCCGGTAAGTTTGAATTGTGCTCTTCTGTGGAGCGCCCGAATACGATGACGTCGTCGAGATAGACGAGGCATTTATAGGGGATGAGATGACGAAGTACACGGTACATTAACCGTTGGAAGGTGGCTGCTGCGTTGCATAGGCCGCGCAGTATTCACAGCCTGGGTTATGGTGTGGGAATCGTACGGGCAGGTGTACCTTCCGTGGGGGCGGGCGTGGCTCTGAGCGAGGAGCAACGGTACGGGGCACTGGATGGGGTCTGCGGTCTTGATGGTAGGCCGTATATAACCGGCATTGTTGTATGGCGGCAGTCAAGCTGGTAGGGGGGTGAAGGAGAAGGATGTCGGTAGCGTTAGGATCGCTAAGACCGGTTATAAAACGATGCAGTATAAGGGTGTTGCGGTCGGGTGGGGGGAGGTTGGGGAACGCCGCTAGGGAGAGTTGGGACAACTGCTCGGCGAAGTCATCAACCGACTGGTCACGAGTCTGTCTGAGGGTGGAGAAACGCTCGGCTGCGATTCCTGTAGGGGACGGCGTGTGAAAGAGCTGCAAAACAGTACTACGCGCTACGTTGAACGGAGTTGTGTGGTCGATTGCCGCGTCGAAGGCACGCTTACGGGCGGGGGCGGACAGGAAACGTATCAGGTAGCACGTGTATTGATTAATGGGGACCGTGACTAAAAAAAGATCCAGGTCTCGGAGCCAATCGTGAATGTTGCTCTCTGGAACGTACGGTTCAGGGGCCAAAAGGGGGCTAGGGTCTAGGTTATACGCGTACTCGACCGTGGGGTTGGGGAGTGGTGCGTGGGTAACTGGGAAATCGGAGGGAGAGGCGGGTGGGGTACCCGCTGCCACCATCGTAGCGACCGGGCGGGTAGTAGACGTCGGGTCACGTGAGTAGAAGGAAGGGGAAGAGGGGAGTTTGAATTCAGACGATCCGGATGATTGGAAAAGTCGGTCTATAATACCTTGTACTTCAGAGTGTGTGGTAGAGGGGGGCACAGGCGTACGAGACATGATATAGATAACGGAATTGACAAAACGATATAAATTTATTGTAATATGCGAAACGGGAATATAATAATGAGATAACGTAAAAACGAAAGAATATGACAGAATGACTTATCGGTGTGTTGACAGTTAATTGTCGGCAAGTGGTTTTCGGAGCGTAGACTCTGCAAAACAAAACAAAAGTAGTGCAGTCTATTCAAACCTCAAAGTCGGGTCTCTGGTCAGATCTCCGTCTGTTACAATAAAGCATTCATTCTCTTGTTCATTTGGTAGAAAATTGCGTTTTTTTCCACTTTCACACTCGAAGGAAGGGTATAATTCGGTTTTGAAAAAGTCTCCGATTGTGAGATTTTTTAATACTGTGAAATGGCCCTTTATAAAACGTCATGTTTCTTGTTTTACCGATGTGGGTTGTACAGTTAACAATATCGCTGAAGTCCATTGTTAAATTGTAGGAAGAGCTTATAGTTCCCTTTTAATACCGTAGAGAGATGTGTAGTTTTCCGTTCCCGGAAGGAGTACGGTCTGTAGTTTGGGAACCCTGAATTTAAGTGTCACGGCAGTTCGGGTTCAAAATTATTTGGGAATTGAAAATATTTTTAAGCCGAATTATACTCTTGCTTCATGCATAAAATTGAAAGAAGGCATATTTTTCAACCGAATGAGCGAAAGAGAGAATTTTT